GCACGGCTGGCGGGTGGTCCCGGGGGGCGCTGGGAGGGTGCGTAGCAGAAAACCAAGCCAGGGGGAAACCGAAACGCCCCTTCCTCCCAGCGCTGCTTTGTCCCTCCTCTTCTTCTCGTACCCCCTGACCTGCTCCTCTCTCGCAGGGCTGAGGTTCAGACCAAAGGGGCTCGGGTTTTTTTTGAGAGCAAAGTGATGCTCGTTGGTACAGGGTGCTGGCCTTTCCCTCCCCTCATCAAGGGGGGCATTTATTTCCAGTTCCCACACCGGGTGATTAGCATTTGGGTGTTTGGCTAAGGCTGCCCTTGACTTTCCTATCCAATATTTGAATTGCAGGGGAATAAACATCGGTGCCGAAGCCTGGAAGCCTTTTTCCAGGGCACTGCTGGCGCTTCTGCTCCCGCCGGGATGCGGGCGCCTCTCGGAGCGAGGACTTGCCTCCCCGCCGAGAAGAGAGAGGGTTTTGCTGAAGGCACACAGGTTTTGAGCCTCAGTGTTACTTAAACCCCATCAGAGCAGCGGTGGCATTTAATTTAGATGCAAACGAAAATAGGGAGCACAAGCCCTGTCCTGCTCCTTGACAGTGGCTGGGAGGAGGTGCTTGAGCTTGAGAGGGTCCCTGGTGAGGATGGAGCTGGGTGATGGGGACGGAGCGCGAGCGGGGGGCTCATTGCTTTGGGTCTTGAGAGCCTCCAAGGACAGTGCCTGCGCAGCCTCGCTGGGCGGGAACGCGTGTGGCTTTTTCCCCCCTTTGCTCTAATTTCTATCAAATAATCTCTCTCCAATTTAACCGATGTCTTGTAGCAGAGGCCCAAACCCGGTGCAGCACCCAGAGGTGAGCGAAAAGGGCCGAGCGAAGGGGGGTGACCACGTCCAGCCATCCCCTGTGGATGCAGCCTGGGATGCTGCTGGCTCAGGTTTGCTCGCCAGCACCCGGGGCTTGGCAGCAGAGGCCCGTAGGTTTAGAGGTTTAGTCCTTCCCGGGGACAGGGCTTGCAGCGTGGCACCCCCAGCCTGCATTGCAAATGGATGCCGAGCCAGCAAACCCGGTGGAAGAGAGGTTCCTCTTCTGCAAGGCCGGGGCAGATACCCTGCGTGGGTACCGCAGAGCCGGCCGCTGCATCCCATC